AATTATAAGCAGGAATGTCAAGTTTAATGAAGAGGCTAGTTGGGAAGATGCGAAAGATAGTGCTCAATCACCTAATTCTCTCTTGACTAATGAAGAAGAAGAGACTGCACATGAAATGCCTCAACCAAATAACAATGAGGTTCACACACCTCCTATATCACCAACCAGAAGTGCGTCCTCAACACCAAGCAGTGAGAGAAGCAGCTCATCAGATCAGTCCAGCTCATCATCAGACACACCACCACGAAAAATGAAGTCTTTAAGCGAAGTATATGAATCATGTTCGTTTGCCTTGTATGTGTCTGAACCAACCTGTTATGAAGAAGCAGTGGAGAATGAGCAATGGGAGGAGGCAATGCTAGAAGAACTTACTGCAATTGAGCGCAATCACACATGGGAATTGGTTGATCCTCCTTACGGTAAAACTCCAATTGGACTCAAATGGGTTTACAAGGTGAAACATAATGCTGATGGTAGTGTTCAAAAATATAAGGCAAGGCTTGTTGCCAAAGGATATGCACAAAATCCGGGTATTGATTACGACGAAACATTCTCTCCTGTTGCACGCTTTGAAACAGTGAGAATGCTTTTGTCTTTAGCTGCCAAATTAAAACTTCCACTTTACCAGTTTGATGTCAAATCTGCGTTCTTGAATGGCAACTTGGAGGAGGAAGTTTTTGTGTCCCAACCTGAAGGTTTTGTGGTAAATGGGAAGGAGCATAAGGTGTACAAGCTGAAGAAAGCACTTTATGGCCTAAAACAAGCTCCAAGAGCTTGGTACAAGCGAATTGACTCATATTTTCTGCAAAATGGCTTTGTGCGTAGTGATAATGAACCTTGTATGTGAAAGGGAGTAAGTTGTCTGATTTCCTGATTGTGTGCGTGTATGTGGATGATATAATCTATTTGGGATCATCACAAAATCTGATTGAAGAATTCAGGTCCTCAATGACAAAAGAGTTCGAGATGACGGACTTGGGGAAGCTAAAATATTTTCTTGGACTCGAGGTGAATCAAGCTGAAGATGGAGTGTTTATCTCGCAAAGGAAATATGCAAAGGACCTGCTGCATAGGTTCCATATGTACAATGCTAAGCCTGCTGCAACTCCTATGAATACGAGTGAGAAACTAAGGCATGATGATGGTACTGAAGCTGCGGATTCGAGTTATTATAGAAGCTTGGTAGGCGGACTGAATTATCTAACTCACACTCGTCCTGACATCGTGTACTCTGTAAGTGCTCTTTCTCGTTATATGCATGCTCCCACTATGCAACATCTTGGAGCTGCTAAGAGGGTGCTACGGTACATTAGAGGTACACTTGAGTATGGCATTTGGTATGCGCAAAATGCAGATTGCAAGCTGTTTGGGTTCAGTGACAGTGATTGGGCAGGCTGTGTTGATGATAGAAGAAGCACCTCAGGTCATACCTTCATCTTGGGGTCAGGAGCAATATCATGGAGCTCGAAGAAGCAGGATATAGTGGCACTCTCGTCGTCTGAAGCCGAGTATGTGGCTGTTACATCTGCAGCTTGTCAAATGGTTTGGTTGCGAAGACTGTTGAGTGAGGTTGGTTGTGAACAAAAACAAGCTACTGAGATTTTCTGTGATAACAAGGCAACAATTGCCATGACTAAGAACCCAGCGTATCATAGTCGAACCAAGCACATAGACATACGCTTTCACTACATCAGAAGTTTAGCTGCAAAGAAGGAAGTCGAGCTGAAATTTTGTGCAACAAACAATCAGACTGCAGACATACTCACGAAGGCTCTTTCTTTTGATAAGCACACTTACTTTAGGCAGAAGATGGGTGTGTGTAGCTTTGAAGCAAGGGGGTGTATTGAATGAAGAATGCTTCAACTTTTCTGTTTTACTTTGTCCGAGTCTTAAGGGTTAGGTAGTGTTTTGAATAAATCAGTAGCAAGTTGTTATTTCTTCCACTTTTCTAGCTTAAGTTGTTTTCATGTAAGCCTATATAAAGGCACAAATATTGATCAATTGAGGTAGCAATATTAAGAGCATATTATCAGATTTTCCTTTTGCTTTCTTAATTTAATTTACTCTGTTTTAATTCCCTCTATTTTACCAACAATAAAATCCCACATTGCATGAATATGTAATCTCTTATAGATTCACGGGAATTTATAGTAAAAATTTTTATTGTTTGACCTAAATATTAGATATGGGAAAAACATTTGAGGAAGGAGGGAGTATGATTTTATGTCATACAAAATTCAACATGCATGTTTGGAAAAATAATTTTACATACATAGCTCTACGTACATTACTTTTTTTTTTTTTTTCTTTTTTGACAAACTCTACGTACATTACTTGCACGTATGATTGTACCTCTTAGAAAATCTTGAAATATTCTACTTATATCACATGTGATGATATAACAAATTTAACAATGAAGGGACAATAAAGTCCATTATTATATTATTTTGAACCTACGTACATTTTGCTTATCAATTTTGAGATCGACTGATCTTAACCTTAAAACCATTTTTCATACGAAGAAGTACAGAGAGATCGAAGACAGGATGATTTTCTTGTACAGTCTCTATATTGTAGTGATGGATGATGGCAGCAGCTATAATCTTCATCTGGGTGAAGGCCATTTGCCTTCCCAAGCAATACCTTGGCCCTGAGCCAAACACTGAAAACTTGTATGATGGTTCATGCTTAATCGCTCCACCTTCAGTTATCCACCTTTCGGGCTTGAACTCGTTGCAATCTTCTCCCCATATCGATTTCATCCTTCCCATCACGTACGTGTTTATGATAATTTCCGTGTTTGGATTCACTCGATGACCACTAGGAAGGATGTCTGGCTTAATTGGTGACTTGTGATTGTAGGCTAATGCTGGGTAGAGTCTTAAAGACTCACATAATGTAGCATGAAGATATATTAGCTGGTCACTAAGCTCTATAAAATTGCTTAGAAACCTATCATAGTTATTGTTCACTTGTTTCATTATACCATCTAGTTCCATTTTAATCTTGTGAGCAATTTGTGGGTTTTTCGAGAGAAGGAAAAAAAACCAAGTCAATGCAATACTACTTGTTTCTCCACCAGCTATGAAAAAATTTGAAATTGTGTCCCTTAAAAATTTATTATTATCATTGCGACTCTTTGACTTAATAGTATTTTCATCAGTATCTATAAAAAAGGTCAATAGATCTATTCTACTTACCTCTATTTCATTATCCTTTGGCTTAGAAGTTGCTTTCCTCATTTATTCTCTCTTCTTATTTATGCACTTGTAAATAAAGTCATCAAGGATTTTCCACCCTTGCTTGTACTTATTCTCTCCCCCTATATTCAACCACCTTTGGATTTTCCATATGCATGTTGGCAATACATGACGAATGAAAACAGTGTGTTCGAGATCAGCCACAGCCTTTAAGAGTGGAAAATCAGGCAAATCGATTGAAAGTGATTCCGGATCATGGTCCATCATGATCCTACTCATTGTATCATACATGAACCTTAAGATTATATTTTGTAGGTCAATCTCAATCGAGTGCTTAGCAACATGATCAAGAAATGGGATGAGTCCATTCTTGACTTTATTCCGTGCTATATAGATCAAAGAGTGGTGGAATTGAGGATGATGGAAAAAAAGATGAGCCACATTTCGATGGTAACTCCATACATCTGAATCGGAGTTAAGGATCCCATCACCAAGGACGTCAAAGATTTCATTAAATTTGGAACCTTTTATATAAGTTTCAGATTTTTTGCAATATATATGGTTAAGGTTAGCAGGATCAACGGTTACTAGGATGTGCATGTTGGCAAACCAAGGGCCCATGAGATCGAAATTCATGTTAGAATTTTCCATAAGATGAAAAATAAAGTCATTAATATTATGGACGTTTTTGAGGAGTGCAGGAAGCATCCCAACAAGAGGCCATTTAGTTGGGAGCCCATTTTTATTGCGAAAGAAGCAGCAAAATAAAGCAAACAAAAGGAGGATTAGTGTATTGATCAACATGTAATACCCCATTATTAGGAAGTATAGTATGTGTTTAGGCCAGGTTTTGCTTGTTTGGGTGTCTGGTTGATGATTATGTGAAAATGTACGTGTTTTTTATAGTTTTATTATGAACATTTTTTTTTTTAATTTGTGTAGAACTTAATGCTGTAGGCCTCACAAAATGAATGACACGTCAAAATCATATCATTTCATCTTCATTCAAGTCTATTGTCTAATTGAAGTCGCGATTATTATATATATATAACACCCACCTACCAACACCTTTTCCTTTCTCTTTTTAGGGCCATGTCTTTTCAAATGTGTTTTATTTTTTCCCGCAAGGTGTGATAATTATCAATTATGGCGATGCCATTTTCAGGCTTGATGGCGTAGGGCTGGGGGTGTAATGCGTTTTTGTTGCCTCAACTTGACTTTGCATTTGGGATAAGTTCGAGGCCGACATTGCTGAAGCTCTTGCCACGAGGCACGCTTTGCATATTGTTTTATTTCATTATTATTTTTTTTTACGAGAAGAAAAAGGATTTCATTAATGAAAGGTAACCAAACGACACTTACAAACAATTTCTAGGAAATCTAAAATTATAGATGGAGAGTATAATTGCTTAATGTTGTGGAGTCGATGATAGAGTATAAAAACATATTCCTAGACTTCAACCAAAAGTTTAAGCTGGTGGTTGAGTTGGACTTTTAACATGATATCAAATCCCAGGTTTGTTGGGTCGTTAATAATTAGGCATTTGTCAAGCCAACTAGTTAAGGGGCATCTATTAGACGTTCATTCTCAATGATGATTATATTGTACTTTTTGGTGTACTCAAAGTTCTAAGGACACTCACAAGTGGACTGTAGTTCCACTTTATAAGGTAGATGAGTTACTCTTACTATTGCCAATTGGGTTTTGTATAGAAGCTCCAAAACCTAGTTTGTGGACTAAACTCTCCTCCTCCTTGTGCGGGTTGCCCAAACTCATTTCATATTATCTCGAAAATTAACATGGTATCAGAGCCAGGTAACACAAAGGTCACGGGTTTGAAACTCATCTGCCCCTCCTTTAAAGTGGAATTAATTCGCACAAGGTATAGGTGGACCTATGTTTCATCCACATTTCAAACCCAAAGAGCCTTTCATGTGAGGGGGAGTGATAGAGTATAAAAACATATTCCTGGGTCTCAAGCATCAGTTTAAGCTTTTTGTTGAGTTGGTATTAGAGTTGGTTTGGTTTATTTATGTTAATATTGTATTTATGTTAAGTTTATCTTTTAGGAGTTTTAGGCATGTCATGTATGGTGTATATATATGTGATTATTATCAATACAAAGGTCAAGCCGTTTTCTCCAGATTTCCTTGAGTTTAACATGGTATCATGCCTCTCTAATTTCTAGAGAATTTTTTTTCGAACTTGGTTTGTTCTTGATTTGATTCCGCAATTAATTCGTTTGTTTGTGAGATTTAGGCTTCAATTTTTTTTTAATTTCCACAAATTTTGTTTCATCAAAATTCGGGCTCACAAACCCTAATTTATTTTTTTTATGTTCGATACGAATTGTTTTCTGGTTGGTGCGCATCTCTTGTGCGTGCTGCGTTGCTCGAGTTGTGGGTGCTGCGTGTGTAGTGCTCAGTTTGGTGTGGTGCTGTGTGTAGGCAGTGCTGCGAGGTGTTTGTTTTGGTACGTGGTGTGCTGCTTCTAGTGGTGCGCTGCTGTGTGGTTTGTGTGGTGCGTGTTGCTGAGTTTTGTGTGTATTGTGTGCTGGCAGCGTGAGTGTGCTAGTGTGCAGCGTGGTTGGTTTGGTCATACGTGTTACGGTGCTCTGTGTGCAAGGGTGCTGCTATTTGCTTGTGGGTGTGGTCTTCGTTGTGAGGTGTCACACTTGCGTGTACTACGGTATTTGATTTCTCAAAAGGCAGCAACAGTTAGTGGTCTTGTCTCTACTTCTGTTTTCACTCATTTTTGTTTGTTTAAGGTTGGATACTTATTCACTTTTCATATTAAAGTGGATTTAGGCAGTGTGTTGGAGCAATAAGTTTGGCATTTGTGCTTTTATATTTTACCATGTTTTGCCATTATTTTTTTTTCCTTTCTTGGTTTGTGCAATTGTGGTGGTATCTCTGCACTTTGGTGGTCTTTGTGTTGCACGCAGTATTTAGAGTAATTTGGTTATATTGGGTGAAGTTTGGTGATTTATTTGATTTTGGTGCGTGGGGTTGGTTCTCTATAGTGGTTCTTCGTCTTTATTGCTATCGTTCGGTTGGTGTGTTGTTAAGCTGCTTGGTGTTCTCTTTCAAAGGGGGCTCAATCTAACCGTACATTTGAGCGTCTAACTGACGCAGATCGTAGGAGTGTTCCTACTATCACCAATGAGCAATGGAAAGAACTTCTATCTGTCGTTCAGTGCTCGAGTTCTTCGTCAATTCGCACCTATAATTCTGTGGATTGGCTCATTAATACTGGAGCTTCAAATCATATGTCTGGTAATATTGATTTATTTACAAATTTATCTGATATTTCGTCTCCTGTTTGTTTGCCTAATGGGAAGAGCATTACTGCTACAAAAGAAGGGAGAGTTATTATGTCTTATAATTTAACTCTTCATAATGTTCTTTATAATCCTGCTCTTAAATGCAACTTGTTGTCTGGGTCTCAATTGTTAGAACAACAATCTTATTCTGTTATGTTCACTGACAAGTTATGCATTATTCAGGACCGCAGTTTGAGGAACCTGATTGGAGCGGGGGAGCAGTGTGATGGGGTCTATATTTTCCGTCCGGTTCGTGCTCGGAATCCTCAGGCTAACAAAGTGGTAATTTAGGATGCAAGTTTGTTATGGCACAAACGTCTTGGTCATCCATCGATGCAAGTGGTTAGTTCTCTTCCAGGAGTTTCTCGTACTAATCATGATCATAGTAGTTCTTCTGATTGTTCGTTTAATTGTGATATTTGTTTTATGGGGAAGCAACCCCGCAACTCTTTTCCATTGAGTACAAATAGAGCATCTGGTATATTTGATTTGATTCATTGTGATATTTAGGGTCCGAATAAGATTTTTTCTAGTTGTGATGCTCAGTATTTTCTTACCATTGTTGATGATTTTTCGCGTTCTACTTGGGTGTTCTTAATGGTTGGTAAATATGAAGTTGCTTCATTAGTTCGTGAGTTTTGTGCTATGGCTTAGACTCAATTTGGCCGCAAGGTCAAGGTGGTTCGTAGTGATAATGGTCAGGAGTTTCTTAGTTTGGGTTCTTTCTTTGCTAAGAAAGGCATCTTGCATCAAACGTCGTGTGTTGACACAGCTCAGCAGAATGGTCGAGTTGAACGCAAACATCGTCACATTTTAAATGTGGCTCGTGCTCTTCGGTTTCAGGCAAAGTTGCCTAAGTATTTTTGGGGTGAGTGTGTTATGACGGCTGTTCATCTTATTAACAGGACTCCGACTTCGATTTTGAAAGGTAAAACCCCTCATGAGCTTTTATTTGGTCAGTCACCTTTTTATGATAGTTTGCGAGTTTTTGGTTGTCTTGCTTATACTGCGAATCGTCCTTGGGTTAAGGACAAATTTGATTCTCGTAGTCGTAAGTGTATCTTTGTTGGTTATCCTCATGGAAAAAAGGGTTGGCGTCTTTATGATTTAGAGACGAATGAATTTTTTGTGAGTCGGGATGTGCAATTTTTCGAAGATAAATTCCCGTATTTAGAGTCTCTTCCGGATGAACGACGTTTATTGTGGGAAAAGTATTTTGCGAATCCACCCATGTGGGATTACAACGACGAAGAATTTTTGGTCAATGGTGCGCCAATGGGGGGTGACACCCTTGACACTACGAGCACTGCAGCTAGGCCGCAGGAGAATGCTCCCCACCGCAGCCCAGCTGCGGACTGCTCTGTCCCATGAGACAAGCAGCAGCCTCAGGCAGAGAGTACCGCAGCCAGGCCGCGGCAGACTGCCTCAAATCGCAGCCCAGCTGCGGACTCAACTGCCCAGCAGCGTGCTGGCTCGTCCAGCAGCAGCTGCGAGCAGCAGATCAGCTCTTCCCAGATCGGTGGTGAATTTGGTGATTTTTAAAGTTCCAGTGATGGTAATGCGCGGTCTACGAGTGTTGTTGAGCGTGAATTAGATGGTGGTGCTAATATTTTTATTAATTCAGAATACTTGAGGGGGAGTTTGTCGGATAATTTGGGTCGTGGTCATCGTGAAAAACGTGCTCCTTCGTGGCATCGTAATTATGTCACTCATACTATCATTACTGGAAATATAGACCCATCTACATCAACTGTCGTCCCTCCTCAATCACATTCCTCAGGTAAACCTTTCCTTATAGCTTGTCATGTTGAATATAATCGTTTTTTCTATAAGACACAGGTGTTTTCTGGCGACGATCGCTAAGGGAAAGGAACCGTCTTTGTTTAAAGAGGCGGTTAAAGACATCGGTTGGCGTAAGGCAATGCAAGATGAGATTGACGCTTTAGAGCGTAATGGCACATGGACCGTTGAGGATCTTCCTCCCGGTAAGAAGGTTATTAGTAGTGGTTGGGTGTATAAAATCAAGTACACCGACAAATCGAAGGTGGAACGTCTCAAGGCTCGGGTGGTTGTTCATTGGAATCGACAGGTTGAAGGTGTTGATTATAATGAGACGTTTGCTCCTGTTGCAAAGATGGGTGCGGTACGTATTTTGTTAGCTGTTGTTGTATCTTTGAATTGGGAGTTACATCAGATGGATGTTCATAATGCTTTTCTTCATGGTGATTTGGATGAAGAAGTGTATATGCAGTTTCCTCCAGTGTACGGTACTCCGATACCGGGCAAAGTTCGCCGGTTACGGAAGTCTTTATATGGCTTGAAACAGGCCCCGAGACAGTGGTTTTCGAAGTTGTCTAGTGCTCTGCGAGGTTTTGGTTTAAAAAATTCATATGCTGATTACTCTCTGTTTAGCTATGTACAAGGCAGTGTTTCTTTACATGTCCTGGTTTATGTCGATGATTTGATTATTGCAGGCTCCTCTCATGATGCGATTGTTCGGTTTAAAGCTTATCTGAGCAAATGCTTCTATATGAAGGATTTGGGTTTGCTTAAGTATTTCTTAGGCATTGAGGTCGCTCGGAGTCCGGAGGGCATCTTTCTTTCTCAGCGAAAGTATGCCCTTGATATTTTGAATGAGGCAGGAATGTTGGGTTGTAAACCCATCGACACTCCGATGGAACAGTATCATCGTTTGGTTGGCCGTTTGGTTTATTTGTCGGTCACTCGACCGGAGCTGAGTTATTCTGTGCATTTTTTGGCACAATTTTTTAGTGTTCCGCAGGTTTCTCATTGGGATGCGGCCATTCGTGTCTTGCGCTACCTTAAGGGTAGTCCGGGACAAGGTATTTTGTTGCGACCTACGACGGGTTTACGCTTGACGGCGTTTTGTGATAGTGATTGGGCGGCGTGCCCGTTAAGTCGACGTTCATTGTCAGGTTATTTTGTTTTCTTAGGTCGTTCACCTGTCTCTTGGAAGACTAAGAAACAGCCTACTATAGCCACATCCTCGTTTGAAGCTGAATACAGGTCTATGGCCCTTACTTCTCGTGAGTTGAAATGGTTAAAAATGTTGTTGTTTGTTCTTGGTGTTAAGCATTCTAAGCCTATGCAGTTGTTTTGTGATAATCAGTCGGCTTTGCACATAGCCAAGAATCCGGTATTTCATGAACGTACGAAACATATTGAGGTAGACTGTCATTTTGTTCGTGATGAATTGATAAACGGTGATATTTCTACCTCCTATGTTCCGACAGGTCATCAGTTGGCAGATATTTTAACCAAGGCTCTTGGACGACATCAATTTGGTTTTCTTTTACGCAAGTTGGGCATTCGCGATTTGCATGCTCCAACTTGAGGGGGAGTATTGGAGTCGGTTTGGTTTATTTATGTTAATATTGTATTTATGTTAAGTTTATCTTTTAGGAGTTTTAGGCATTTCATGTATGGTGCATATATATGTGATTATTATCAATGCAAAGGTCAAGCCGTTTTCTCCAAATTTTCTTGAGTTTAACAGTTGGTCCGTTAATAGTCGAGATTCAGGAGAGTTAGTGTGGAAACAGAGTGCCTCAAATTACACGGCCATGTTTAAAAGGGAACGATCCTTGCAGCGAGTTCGGGTCGATTATTTATGATATTATTTGGCTTGCTAAGGGTTGCTAGAGTTTTCTTTCTCCTTTGTTAAAATGAGTTTTAATCAGATTGTGCATGAACTCGCTAAACTTTGTTCCTCTTTTGATGGTCTTAAAGTTTGGATGGAAGAGGTACCTTTTGGTATTTCAAACTTTGTAATGGTTTATTTAAGCCCTTTGGGTGATTAAAAATATGCTATATATATGCTTGCTTGCTCGTCAAACAAAAAAAAAAGTTATATTTCAAATGTTATAACAGTACAACTAATCTAAACACATAATTCCTAAAATGAGTGAAAAATAAGTGGACCAAAGTAAGACCTAAAGACAAGTTCTCTTCCTTGTCATAAAAAAAAGGCACGTTTCTTTGCCTTATTTATGCTAAAATTATTAATGTATTACATTTTTTTCACTAAACTTCAATATTATTACAGCTTTTTTAGTGATTGCAAAAGTTAGTCTTATCACTTTACCTTACTTTTGGTGCACTCAAATTATTTTTCATTGAACTTGAATTATTTTTTACTGAGCTTAAATTATTTTTATTAATGAAACTTATTTTACTGATTGTAATCTTAATTAATATATGTTCTTTAAAGCTAACGAGTTAAACATACTTTTACTAATTTTTTATGACCATAATTTATTTTTACGACTTTTATTTAATTTGAATAAGGTAATAAATGAAAACATGGTCTAATTTTACTAATTCTCTACTAAATATGTTCTTTTTTACTAAATTAAAATTATTTTTGCTGATTTTTTTATTGAACATATATAAATTGTTTATATTAAATATTATTTAAATAAGATGAAAAAAAAAACAGGACCTAAGTAACCAAAATTTGTCTAAGCTCCTGGTAGTGGCAGGTTCGCCGATGGCCTTTGAAGGTTATGATATTTTTTTTAATAAAAAAGCAAATATATATGCTGATTCAAAGTTTTGGCAATCTAATAGAGAGCATAAAAAGGGTATGAAAACATTTATAGTGTTCATACTTGTGCATAATAAGCAGATGATAAAGTTAAACCCCAATTATTGATGATAAGAAATAACCAAGAAAAACCAATTTCAATCCAAACTTCAATGTTTAAGATGAAATTTGAGAGAGAACAAATAATAAAGATAAATTCTTATCACATCAGTCACCATGTTTAATGCAGTAAGATTTTAATCTAAGTCTAAAATAAAGTAGACCAAAGATTAGGGGAGGAATCACATACATTTACAATAATCACCAAGATTATGGATGGAGAGAAAAACACTCATAAAGGTTTAAAAATAAGCAAAAGTTGTTCCCAAAAGCAAGCTTAGTCCTATTTAAAGGCTTTACAAACAAATCAAGATTCACTGCTAAAAGACAGCCCATTTTTTACCGAAAAATTCCGTCGGAAACACCCTAAAATCTATCGAAAAACTCGTTTTTGACGGAATTTCCATCGGAACGGGTTGGTAGGAAAAAGGACCCTCCCAACGGAAAATTTCGTCGGAAACACTGTTCCGACGGAATTCATTCCTAAAAAGAGATTTTCCGGCACCGAAAAAATCTGTCGGAAATCTCCAACGGACCTCGGAAAATTGCGAGGGAAATTCCGTCGTAAAATTATTAAAAAAAAAAAAAAAGCATCCCACCACCCCTACCACCAGCCCGGACCACCAGCTACCACCCCTCACCACCAGCCCCCCTAACCCGTATCACCAGCTCACACCACCAGCTACCAGCCCGTATCACCAGCCCCCCTAAATCGTATCACCAGCCCCCTAACCCGATTCACCACCCACACCCACAACCACCAGAACCCCTACCCACCTAATCGTAAGCCCCTAACCCACACAAATAAGCCCGGATCTACCACCCCACCTAAGAAAACCACCCCACCACCGCCGAAACAAACCATCACAACCCAAAAATTAACAAAAATAAAATCCCAACCCAAACTCCAACAGCCACCACAACCACAACCACATATATTCAATCTATTAAACCAGAAACCCGAAAAAAAAATAAGAAAAATGAATAGAAAAATTTTGAACAAAAAATTGAAAACAAATGATAAAACACTACTAAAATTCGGCCAAATTGCGACCGTCTCTAACGGTCCCACATATTATAATAAAAATGGCCGCAATGCGACCGTCAACGGTCGTAAGGTGGTGGTCGTCATTCACGTGGTCGCAGAAAATTATTATAACGATCGTTTGACAGTCGTAGATTTTTTGCGACTGTTTTTATTATTTTCAACGACTGTTTCGAAAACGGTCGCAAAAATTAAAAATTGCGACAGGTAAAATCAGCGATCGCAATTTTTGGAATTAGCGACCGCCATAAGCTGTTGCTAAAATTTTTTAAAAAAACAAACAAAAAAAAAGAAAAATCGCACTACACTGTACCTCACATCCAGCCTCACCAACCATCAAAACCACCTTTACCCACCACCACTGCCAACCCAAACCACCCTTACCCACCACTTCTGCCCACCCTAACCACGTAAACCCATAGCTGCTCACCCGAAACCACCTAACCCACCACCACCGCCAACCTAAACAACCTTTACCCACCCCAATTCACCACCCTAACCAGTAAATCAACCGCCGCTCACCTTAAACCACCTCAACCCAACGCCGCTCACCTTAAACCACCTCAACCCAACGCCGCTCACCCGAAACCAGCTCAACCCACCACCGCCCACAAAATTATAAAAAATTAAGAAAATTACCCAAAAAATCAGAAATAAAAT